CAACACGACAGTACAAAAACACAATGAAAACAGCCAAAAACAAAATATGTAGTATCATAAGAAAACATATGAAAAGTTTGCTCCAGTCTGTCAGTTACAGTTGCCAACTTACATCAGTCATAAATTTTCCAATTGATTTCAATGAAACTTAATTCCAGCTAAGTTGGTCTGGTTCTAATCCAGCAACTATAAAAATTGAAAATGTAGAATTCAATTACCTCATTTAAGGAAATGATACTTTTTATTAAAACACCCAATAGAATAAAAACATCCTGAAGAGTAACCAGAAAAAGGGTTAAGTTTCATCAAAGTTGCTAGAGCTCAGAAGCCTTCCTAACATTCACATTATCACACCTGCAGGGTGCAGGCAACAAAGAAGGGCTGAAGCAGAGTGTTACACCATCTGGATGCAACCACAGAAAGCACTATAGAATCTACTTTAAGGTCTATTAGAGTGTACTTCAGAGTACATGGATTTCTACTGCTACTATATATCTTTGCATATAAAGTTAAGATGTTATTGTTCTATAGAAAAAATTACCAAAAAATGCAGCTTTCCATGAACTGATAACTACTGTGGCTCCCTTCAAAGCCAATTCAAAAACTATAATTCATGCAAAATATAGCAGCAAGATTACTAACCAGTTTGCTGATAACACCAAACCCTATCCCACCTTTCCATCTAATCTAAGGAAATTGTTCATTTTCTAGAACAGTTTGCTGCTAGTATTGGGATTAAGGCAAACATCCTGAAGCATAAACCAGGTAAGTCAGAGGTGCTCCTGGTCAAAGACAAATCAGGGATTCAACCTATCTTAGATAAGGTTACACTGTCCTAAAAGACTTGAGTTTGCCCTTTTCTGAATTCGGCCCAGAGCCTGGATGCCGAGGTTTCAACAGCAGTGTTTTTATACAACTAAGGCTAGATAGTAAGGCAACTGCATGCATTCCTGGAAATGTCATACTTGACCATAGTAGTATGGGCTTTAGCTCTAGCCCATGGGCCAAATATGGTCGGCCAAACTGGTCTACCTGACCCCTTCCCAAAGCTCCATCACCTCAGAGGATAAAAGACATGGGAAAACATTCAAATATTCAAAATATTGTCTGTAACCTTTAAAACACTAAACAACTTGACACCACAGTATATAAGGATCTCTCCTTATATACAATGAATCTATCTAGATAATAAGATTAAATCACCAGTGGCTGGTTTCCAAGTCCCCATCATTAGAACTATGGCCAGATATAGGGTCTACTCAGTCATGTTAGCCTTGCCTCTGGAATTCCCTCTCCAGAGAAGTTTGCCTGACATTGTTTCCACTTTTGTTCCCACTTTTTTTGGAGGCCTTTTTATTCACTTTGGCATAGTTTGTTCTGGAATTTTATTGCTGCTGTATTTTAGTGTGATCTATTTTAATTTTACATTTTTTCCAACTATTCATAAGCCTTGAAAGCTTCCGCTGAATATCTAACAATTTTTTTCTTAAACCTTTTCCAACTGCAGGGGGGTTGACCTATGGGCTGACTTTGGGATTAGTGCCACTACTTATGTTAGCTGCCTCAGTATCAGGCTGTAGTAAACAACCCAACCCCAGAGAAAGTCAAAGGTTTTGGACAGAGAAGCTTGAGGATTGTGTGCCCTTGAAGAATTAAATAGTATTTAACTTCCACCTGTCCTCAGGCACCAGTAGTGTCACCACTGATTAGAGACCAAGGCAAGGGATACTGATTGGGCTTTGGTAAGAAAAACTGTGGGCAAGATTATAGCTATTGTAATCAGCCATAGTACCATGATGAGAAAGGCAACAGAAAAACACATTTTATTTTCCAAATTTGCTTGTCATGGCTAGAGCTACATCTAAGGATAGTCTAGCCATTATGATGTCCAACTTGATAAGAGAAGGACAAGATGCTGACTCTACCATTCAGTCTGAATATTTAACTTATTTTTTTTACATACTTAAATCAACATTTTGCATGCCATTAGCAAGAAAGACAGAAAATGTACAATTTACTGTTGGTGCTATTAACCTGCTAACTTTTAGCATCACTAAAAACTGTCAGTTTGTGTATTTCAGTCTCCATTCCTGAAGAAAAAATATTTTAACTTCTTCAAAATTTCTAAATGTTATATTACTGTCACATGTAACCCTCTATTTTTTCCTCATTTAATATTTTATACAACACACATACTATACAAACATTAGGATAAAATCAACCAATGAGCAAATCAGAAAACAGGTTTTCTGGAGGAATAGGTTAGGCAGTTAGAGGGTGTGGGAAGAATTCCCACAAGAGGGATGCTAATCTGTCACATTAAAACAATTTTTCAATGTGTTATCTCAATAGAGATTACCCCTTCCTCCATGGTAGTAACTAGGAAGGTAGGGTGCAGGAACTCCAATTGCCTTCTACACCCATATTTTAAAGCATACTATGAGTCTGTTATTCACTCCAGGATAGTGTTTGACATTTTGCACACCAAAAAATGTTCTATTTGGGATGCACTATAAACCCCAGACCTTTTTGAATAATAATCTTCATGCTAGCTATTTCTTTGGACCTCCATTATATGTGTACTGTTATAAAAAATTTTAGAGAAAGACCCTGTTAGGAGAGATTATATATGAGTAGTTTCATGAGCAAGCTAAACATGCAACTTAATTCCTTAGACTCACCCTCCAGCACAATGAACTGAACAAGATACATTAATCTTTAATAAATGGGCAAAAGGAGTTGACTATTTGCAAAGGATATGGCCAAGGAGCATTATGTCATACTTTCATGGATACTTCATTACTGAACTTTGAATACTTGTTCCAAATGAGAAACGAATGGCCCCTAGAATGAAACTATAAAAGTATTCTCAATGGAGTATTGGTACAGACTTTGTTCTTAGTCACAAATTTCCTAAAAGAAAAGCAGCACACACCCAAAATGGAGCATCTGAACCAGAAGACTATAGATAGAAGCATAATCAATACATTCCTTCTTCCAGAGAATGGAAATGACATGATAAAGGTCTTGCTTCTACCCTGGCTAAATGCCGATTTCCCCAGTGGAGGTATTACTCTTTCGCTGTAATATTACCAAGGCCAAGAAGGCAACAAGGACTTGAAAGTGCAAGGCCAAGCTACATACAAAAAAATCAGATACTATTTTTTCTAGAGATATCATAAGGTAGATTCCTGCTAGGAAACCGTGGATGCCTGCAGGCAGAGTTTTCTAGATTACCAAGAATTCATTCAGGGATATTAAGGAAGTTATTGCTATATGCACTACCTCAGATTCTCGTTTCATAGTCGACCGTCGAGTTTGCTAAAACAAGACATGAACAATCCGTTTCACAAAGCCACGCAAACGGCGACTACGGCTCAGTTTTTCAGGCAAAGCAGGGCAATAGCTGCCCGAGCCAGGCTGGCGTGAAAAACACAAGCAGGGCCCGGTCTTCGCATCACAAACACTACTTCGGTCAGCTGGTTATAATCTCCAGCGAGTAAAAAGTCAGAAGGATTAGGGCAAACGAAATCAAACAGGAGCGGACGGTCTCCCCACTCCGTAAGAGCGCGGGGCCGTAGGGGAGCGTCGGGAGGGCCCGAAGCCAAACGCGCGGGGGGGGGGGGAATGCTTTGAAAATGATAAGAGGGGAGATTAAATTCGAAAGGGGCCGGCCAGAACTAACACCGAAATGGAGGGATAACAGTGAAGGGGGGGCGGCTAAACAGGCAGGTGTGGAAGGCTATCTGGAAGAGTCGTGTGTGAGGGGAAGGGTGGAGACCCTCCCCTCAGACTCGCTCTCCCCAGCGCGCCTGCGCTCCTTTCGCCAGGGTGACCCCCACGCTCTCCCCGCCAGTTTGAGCCCCGTTCCACAGCCCCGGCTCCCCTTCACCTCACATCGCTACCTCATATCTGTCGGCTGTCGGGTGTTCTCCTCACACCCACGGCAAAAACGGAAAGGAAGCAGCAGCCGGTAAGACTGCGACGGCAAAGGCCACCGCCTCTGCGAGACGCACCATCCCCTCCCGCGTCTGCTCCTGCTATAACTGCTGCTGCCACCGCCTCTTTGGAGCCTCCACCGTCTCTGAAAGGGGGGAGGAGAATGACCAGCCTGCTTGCCCGGCTCTTTCTCACACACCCGCTATGTTACTGCGCAACGCAAAGAGAGAGAGACAAATCCTGAGGCAGCCAACCAAGCCCTCACCCACTTTGAGAGCCCACCCCTCTCCTGATGACGGATGTGCCCATCCACCATTAGGAAAGGAAGAAATTCCACAGAGTTCTTCGCTTTATTAAGCGCGCCCTGGGATAAGGAAACCTACCTAAGGAGAGCAAAGGATTACTATGTCTGTGAGTGGGTGCTCGCTCATGTTTGCACGTACCATTACAGTTAGTAAGGCGAACGAAAACCCTCCTCTATTTCTTTAACGGGAAAAAGATGCAAGGACTGCTTGCAGGTCTGAAGTTACTAAGGAACCGTCATGGGTGAATGAGCAAGACGCGCTTCAGTATTTCACTTAAGGAAAACCTAATGAAGCAAGCCTCGCCTTCTACTCAAAGGGAAACACATGGCTAGTACGGCTTTTTATGGCCACCCCCTCAGCGCCAAGAAGGTGCTGCATGCCAGGAGCGATAAAGCACTCGGCCTCGCACGGCACACTGGGAATAGCAGTCTGCATCCTCCAGGAGTTTCCTTCGCGAGCTGTTTGGATACGTTTGGATCACGTGCCCGTCCCGTTCTGCCCCTCCTACTTAGAGTGACAACTCCCTTGGCCAGTCACTTTTCTGCTGCGATGTTTCAGGATTTTCTAACTAGGATTTACGCTCCCGCGAGAATCAAGGCGAGAGCGCGAGTGAGGCCTAAGCGAGGTAATGGGTTTGTCATGGTAACCAAGGTCTTTTCTACTGGAATGCGGGTGAGGGGCTGGGAGTCTGAGTCGGAGGGAGTGGATATAGCGATGCACTCCTTGGTAATGTCCATCAGATTCTTCGACCAGCAGCTGTCACCCCTTTGTCATATAGTTTCTCAGTACCAGCTACTGAGTAAAGTCGAGGCTCCTGAAAATGGGCAGTTCCATCTATGTATTGGTTGTTGTCACCTTATTCTATGTTTTAGTGGCGAGTGGTTGGGAAGTGAAGTTCTTGTAACTTGTAATATATGGAGTGATAATGCTACTGTGATAGGGACACAGGAACTTTATGTATGTATGTTTTAAAAATCTGTCTTCGTGAATTTGATATCCTGCTCCTCACCATAGAGGTTTTCAGAGCATCTGACAGGTAAACTAAAAATAAAATAACCATTTCACTTCTCCACCCCCCGCCCCAAAAGCCCCATTCAGAACTGTAAAATATCTTCCATGTTTATGGAAGATAATTTGGTTGAGTAGTTGAGAGATGTGCTTGAGACTGTGGGGAAATATGACAGGAGATACAGGACTGGAGGATGAAAAACACATGTAAGAATGATGAAAAATAAATAAGATAATCTTCTATTAGGACTAGAAACTACTATCTTGCTTGTTGAAAGCTAAAGCTCAAGATTCCAGATCATTCTTCCACAGAATGTGGCGATGTATGCACAACATTTCTTTTGTTTCCATGTGTGCATATTTGAGAATTTCATAGCTGCCTCATCTTAAAATGTTCCTACAAATACTGTCTTTAGAGGAGCAAATATATTAGTCTGTTGCAGCAACAGAGTCTTATAGTACCATAAAGATTAACAATTCATTATGGCATAACTTTTGTGGACCATACTTCATCAGATGTAGGAAGCCTGAATTATAGGTATATGTATGCATCTGTCTGTTAGGGTGGGGGGTATTTTACCCTCAGTTAACCTTTTCCACATCAATTCACCAGCAGCAGGTGCCTGAGTATTGCTTGGAATGTGCTCTTTATTTTTCAGGGTGTTGGCTAGACTTTGCAAATTGAGAATGCATTTAATGTGTCCAGTGCCTTCTGTAATTGTACTTTTGAGGAAAATATCAGTTGTAGAAGCTAGACACTGAGCCTTTCCCTATTTCTGCCTATAGACTGCAACAGCCGTCTCCTGATTGGTCTGGTGTGGTCCTGATACAGGTTCTCCCCTTCCCCTTCCCCTTCCTGATTATACCTACCTGTGCATCTCTAGAACTTCTCAGTCATTTGGGCCCCCACAGATTTTTCAACTGCATGGAAATAACCAGCTTGCCCCCTTCTCCCTTAGTGTATTCATCCCTTTGTGCTTCCTCCCTCTTTCCAAAAGTCAGAGGGAAATAGACACATCACTTGGCCAATGGGAATAAATAAGTGCTGAGACTGAAGGCGACTCTTGCCAGGGGATTCTGTGGTGTTCCCATACCGACAATGGTAACATGGCAATCCTGTCCCTGGACAAATGGAGAAGCCACAGAGAAGTGTGAAACCTTAGAACAGAGAGCTGATTCACAGTGTTTCTAGAAAACTAATCCTAACATGCCGGAACTCTAAAACTGATCTAAACAACAATGAACCCAGTAAGATCTCACGATGGCTTCTTGTGTTGTGCAAACTCACCTAATGAATAATCACTGAAAATCAGTTTTGTACTTTCATCACAAACCTTTTTTAAAAAGAAAACCCTCAACAATAATTAACCCCAATTTTGTGAACAGAATTTACTCAGAAGCAAGTGCTCAAAAGGCCTTACTGGTATTACCATATCAAAAATTGGGGGTAAGAAAAATAATGATCATATTGTTCATATTTTTTCCTGTGATGTTAAATATGAAGAGACATTATTTTCTGCCAAGCTGTCATAATTGTATCATGGCATAGCTTTCAAATGGGCAGTCATTCAGTAATACAGAATAAAGCCTTCACTTCATTTGATTTGGTCTTTTATTAGTCAGCAGCAGTGACATAAATTTTGGGCTATACATAAAATCTATCAAAAGAATATTATTGTCTTTTGCCTTGCCTCTTCTTGTTGTAGATTAACCAATGTATCTAAAATCTTTGCTATAAAGTCTGTTGAGAAGCTCTATTTGTATTAAGATATTCATTTTCCTCTATATTTTAAAGGGCATTATGAAGGGCTTATATTGGCAGCAGAGTTCATCTGCAGAAGAAACATGCTTTGTCTTCCTTGAAAAGGTGAGTTACTGACCATGTAATGTTATATGTGTCTACTGTTGTTAGTTGCGAAGTTGCGTCCAACCCATCACTACCTCATGGACAACATTCCTCCTGGCCTTCCTGTCCTCCACCATCCCCTGGAGTCCACTTAAGCTCATACCTACTGCTTCAGTGACTCCATCTAGCCATCTCATTCTCCACCGCTCCCTTCTTCTTTTGCCCTCAATTGTTCCCAGCATTAGGGTCTTCTCCAGTGAGTCTTTCCTTCTCATTAGGTGGCCAAAGTATTTGAGTTTCATCTTCAGTATCTGGCCTTCTTAAGAGTAGGCAGGGTTGATCTCCTCTAGGACTGACAGTTTTGATCTCCATGCAGTCCAAGGGACACGCAGGAGTCTTCTTTATGTGACTTACATCCAGGTTAATCTGAATATGTCTGCAGCCATATTTGGTAGAAGGAAGATCAAACCAGATCTGGAAAATATAGTTTAAAGTAGAGTTCTGTCTTGTGTAGAGGTAAACTGTGGTCTGTAACAAGTTTAGATATAAGAGGCAACTATGGTTTGCCTGAACCATGAAGTTAAGGTGGGAATTAGGCCACATTAATAGAGAACAAAGGCTATAGGTAGGGATGTGAACATCTGCCTGAAATCTGGCTCTCTTGTGCTAGTTGGACTTCTTACTCACACTCCATTCTGGTTGGGAAGCAAGCCAAACAAGATCATGTCAGAGGATGCTAGCAGACCCCTTCTTTGTGCACAGTACACAATTTTTCTTTGAGCAAGGTATGCAAAGCCCACATGTGTAGTAGCAGGGCTTAGCTTGCATGGTAGGTACGCAGGTAGCATGTGCTCGAGCCAGCATCTTGGACTAATTTTCAGCTGGATGCCCATATGAACATTCAGTGCAAAGCAGATCTAGGGCAAAGGAAAATGGTCTGGAGTCTGGAAAGTCATGTCAAGCAAATCCAACTCCAAAACTGGATCCTAACATGTTACTACTATAGGGAGAGACTGAAATTCAGTGATGGAATATATGCTTTGCATGTATAATGATAAAGTTTCATCCTTAGATTCTTCAGGCAGGACTAGCCAAGAATCCTGCCTGAAACCCTGGTAGTCACTTCTAGTTAACAATAATGGCAAGATGAAACAATTTGACTCAATATTAGCTATTTCCTATGTTCTTAGGAGTCTGAAGCATTGTCCCAATTATAAACATTGGGGATATTTGAGTACAATAGCTGTTTTTATATAGGTAAGTTTTGTAAAAGTTAACATTTGCATCTTTAAGAGGAAAGTAACTGGAAGTTGAATTAGTGGAAAAACTTTGAGCAACTCCATGAATCTGCAATAGTTCAAATACACTTAGGCAGAAATTGGATGCTTCTATGTATATATTGTTTGTTTGTTTAAAACTTTTATATACCGTCCCTTATGCATGGCATCTCAGGACGGCTTACAATCATTAAAACCAAAATACAATAAAGCAATACATGCAAATATAATAAATAATATATAACCAATAAAAATTATATCAACATTTAAGTTACTGACTGCTCACAGTTCAGGATGAAACTGCTACACTGCACTCTAGAGAGAAATAAGAGTTATATCTTACTATGGAATGCGTTCCCCAGAGAGGTCCTCCGGGCGCCATCATTATATGTTTTTCGGCACCAGATTAAGACCTTTTTATTCAATATTTTAATATGTTTTAATATTGAATTTTATTATTGCAGCCAGAGTGGGTCATCAATTTATTTATGCTGTTAGCCATCCAGAGATGTTAGTAACTGGACAGCATACAAATTTTATAAATAAATATCTTTTTAAAAAACTGAAGTATTTTAATAGAAGCTGTTTTAGGAAACTATTCTGTGTCCCCTAGTCATTGTCTGAGGATATTTTGTCTGCCATAGGATATTGTCTGCTTTAGGATAATTTGAATTCCTAAACTCTGATGTTGGAGACAGACCTTGGAACTGAGAGTCATGGCTGTCCCCCTGCTTCCTTGCAGCCAGTAGAGAAGGAATTGCACCATTGCTTTTCCAAGTTAAGAAAAGCAAACTTGGAGAGAGGTGAAAGAGGCAGTTCCAGGGGAGTAAGGGGAGAAGGAAACTAGAGAAGCAAGGATGTGAGGAATCCTACATTCACTTCAATCTCCTCCCCTACTCCCTGTGGAGACTCTTCAGCTAAACAGGTGAAAAACTTACCTGGCAATGGATTGCCTCTGCCACTCATCCCAGTGTTCATAGGATGTCCATAAACCTTTGGATTCATTCTGGATTTTGCCCCTAGACCCTCTAAATGTAATACAGTATTGGTACAGTATGAAAGATATGGTATCAATACAGTATCTGTCATAGAGTTGTCACTGTGATATGAAAGAGTTGTCACTATAATAACAGCAGTTCAAGATTTATAGAATCACCTGGCAATAGAATATTGTTCAAACCCATTTTGCTCTTACACCAAAATTACGTGATGTATGTTACTTCATAGTATAAAAAAATCAAGTTTAGTAGTACTCTAACAGATTTCAAGTAATCTTGACTTGTTTTTCTCTTATAATAAAGTATCTTATTCTGGCCGCAATCCAACGCAATGTGTGTGGGAAGAGAATAACTGTATACCTTCAGAAGGTTTGTTTTGTTTTGTGGGTAGAACTGAGCTAAATATTGACAGCAAATGTGTCATGATGATCACTGTTAAGAAAAGTGGGTAGGGAGGGCAAAGCGTGCTCCTTTTTGCTCCTTTCCCAGCCATTTTGCACCCCCCTCCCCATGCCTGGTTGTCAGATTTATATTTTATCTTGCTAATGCTTGTGTGTGGAAACCCACAAAGGAAACAGTGGTTTGTGGATGAGGAAATACGGGAGAGTTGCAGGTATGGAAAATGTTAAGCAATCCCTCCCCTTCAAATAAAGTTTCTCTGCTCCAAATGCATTTTTCCAAACTTGTTTTCTCTATAACAGAAGCAGATATTAGGATTGTTTAAAAAAAAACTACTGTTAAAGATACCAGATGCATTTTAAATTGTAAAGTGGTTTGTTTCTTCAGTGATGTAAACAATTTTTTTTTAAGTTTCAAAATAAATCTTCAGTTGTACTTATGTATCTTCAGCTGTGCCTGTGTGCCTGCATACTTTCCTTGGGCAAGGGTCCTTGACCTTTGTTCTGTTTTAATATTTAAAATGTTAAATGGATGTTTTTTTAATAACGGCTATCCTTGTGCATTCCCAAGGAGAGTTTTATACAGGAAATAAACTATTGTTGTTCAAGGAGTGCATTGCCAAGGCATGCACTGCTGTAGCCTTATGTATTCTATAGTATGTATATCATATCACTTTGCCTTAGGATAACCTTCCTGTCATGAGAGAAGACTATGTGAAAGTGCAAGTTAAAGCCTGTGCTCTGAGCCAGATTGATGCAAAGGTATTTACAGTACTTTTAGTTGCAGAAAATTGAGGAAAGTTTCTTACTCCACTGAGTCTGTTTTCAGTGGGTACAAATGCATGAAAATTAATTCATTATTTTGTGTCTGCTATTATTTGAAGCTGAGAGCTTTCCTCCTCTCCCTTCCATGCCCCCCCACAGAGCAGGTCCCCAAATACCCCAGAGCAGATTTTGAGGTAGTCATCCCCCAACTGGTTCTGCTGATAGAACCAGTCCAATCAGCATAAAAAATTCATTGAATGTCACAGTTTTCATTAGTGGATAAAATTAATTTGATTTCATCCTTTTCCATTATAAGATAAAAATACATGAATAACTCGTAGCACAATTCTAGGAGGGTTAATTAGAACTAAGCCTCACTGTGTTCTGTGTAGTTTAATGTCAGGTATAGCATTGTGTATACATTATTGTATAATTCCATTATTAGTTGTCATCCTTTATATATATATATATTTTAAATTTGGGCTGTAAGTTGGGCCAGCAAATCTGGTCTCACTTTATTGAGATCTACCTTAAAAAACACATGAATTTAAAAAAATCCTAAGTCCAAAGGCTGGTTTCCATGTCAAAATAGTCAGTTGCAAGTTGCTTGAAACAACCTTCCCCATGAGGATCGTTCCATGTAAAAGCTATAAGGGATAGAGCAGCTTACCACATGAATTGTTTCCTTTGTGTATAAAATTTCCACTCCAATGCCAGGAATGTAATTGATGTGGAGAATTTTCACACAATAGACAAGATCCAGTGAGCTGCTCTACATGTTAAGACTGCTCAGCTGCCATGTTGAGGTTATTTCAAATGATCCCATCATGACTTACATTACACATAAATTGGATCTAATAGAGGCTTAAGCGAATGCTATCTGCCTACAGTTAAAGCTAAGCAGCCCCTTGTGTGCCTTGTCTAGTCCTGGGAAATAAATTGGACAACATGTAATCTATTGTATGTAATCTATTGTATGATTAGAGCTGCGTTGTGCAAAAATTATCCCAAAGTGTGTACCACATTATTATTATTATTATTATTATTATTATTATTATTATTA